TGGTTGGTTGGATGGTTGGATGGTTGGTTGGTTGGTTGGTTGGTTGGTTGGTTGGTGAATGGTTGGTTGGTTGAATGGTTGGTTGGTGAATGGTTGGTTGGTTGGTTGAATGGTTGGTTGGTTGGTTGAATGGTTGGTTGGTTGGTGAATGGTTGGTTGGTTGAATGATTGGTTGGTTGGTTGAATGGTTGGTTGGTTGGTTGAATGGTTGGTTGGTTGGTGAATGGTTGGTTGGTTGAATGGTTGAATGGTTGGTTGGTTGGTTGGTGTTTTTTTCTGACGTACGGTCGAAAACCAGCAAGCTGTGATCGAACCTCCCGAACGCCCCACGAATGTAGCCGACCTAGCCGAACGCCGGACGACCGCCGGACGACTCCTAAGCATGGTTGGCGGTCGGTCGGTTAGCGTTCAGGAGGCCGTATTCGTGAATATGTGACAGAGGCTTTACCTGTTGTATCAGAGGTCATAGCAGACCGTACATGATGTCATATATTATCGACTACTAGTGAACAAGCCTTTTTGTAGACTCACACACGTAAGTGAATTGTCTCACTAGTCACTACTACACAGTTCTAAACATTAGATACTATACTGTACAAAACACAGAAAATATACACGGCATTCGTGAAAAATAGAACCTTTGGCAAATTGAAAAGAGATTCGTGTAAAATAATGCCAAGAACACTGAAACGCTCTTGATATACACACGATAAGACACACGAGTTTTGCAATGGAGGTGACGAACTGGCTCCAGGGTTAGGTTAGGGCTATGTGAACGGAACTTGCTACACTAATCCGCAGTATTTAAATGGAAACTTTGCTACCTCAACTACCAATTGTCTTATAGTTGACATCCCTCAGCTTGCAAGTCCTTTAAGATGTAGGGAAAATGCATACATGACAATGATAACATCCACTACGACATTCTTCACTCGCATAGGAGGTTAATACATGTAACTTCCTGCTTCTGGAAAGCACATTGCGACTATTTCTAATGATGCTTTTTGTACCATCTGTAACACACATCGTAGCACAGAGTTGGACGGACACACTATTGCAGTGACTGGTAGAGGACAAATGTCCCTGTAATTATCTATTTTGTTAATGTTTTTCTTGAACATTTTGGGCCAGTCATATCACAGATGTTGACATGGTTCTCTTGTACGTGAGATCCACACTCCAAGACAAGGGTATACAGCATTTTCACTCTCTTTCTATTTTATCGAAGCATAAAATTAGTGTCCTTGTATTCAAATGGACAGAACAATGCGCACCCATCTGGTATTCCCTTCTGTGAGTTATACACACCTGGTAGAGGTAATTTGCCTCTAGATGTCCGAAAACGCTTGAGCTACGATTCACTGGAACACAAATAGCTGTATCCGCCTCGATGTTCGGTGAACAACGCATGATTCTACCCGCATACGCGCATGTACATGTACATGGATGTGTTTTACATAGTAGCTGTCCGATGTTCATTTCTTGAGATATCCCTCACGTTACAATCTTGGACGTCGGTGGCTGCTGATGCCTTTCAGTAGTGATTTAGGTAATGGAGGGTTAAATGTGACCACACGTTCTTTCTCAGATTTAGGTGCTGAATGGTTAAAGCGACTCCACATCTTTGCCGCATTAGGGTGGTGAAGGATTAAGGTGATTCAGCCTAGATCCGTGGCCAGGCTTGGTGTATAGAGGGTTAAGGTGACTCTAAATCTTCCTTGTTATCTGTTATCGGTGCTTCCATGTCTTCATCGTCCTTGGTGCTTTGCCAGATCAAGAATCCTCCGGGAACACTGAAGAAGGTCTGTGCCCACGTGAGATAGAAGGAGACACTAAACGGAACGTCCATGCCATACAATTCATGGTCAATCGTATAGAAGGCCGCTCCGATGCCTCCAGCTATCCCTGTGTGTGGGGAACAAGCAATCAATTGATCAGTAAACTGTTGTCATCTCTCTCCAATATAGAAGAACTACAGCATCTCAATGATAGAACTCTATGTGTACGAGGGTCCACGTCACTTTCACATTTACAAAACTCTAATGTCTTCGATATACTTCAAACCTTTATCTACTGTACAGGTAGATTCTCATAATCGATAGATCATCAACTGGTTACAGTAATCTTTCTTTTATCAATTTGAAATGTACGTATTTTGTTATTGTGTTTTACTCTTGTTTTATATTGATGTTTTAGAGGAGCAGGCGTTATATAAGCAATTGTGCTTTTTGCCTGATCCCTTTCAATATATGTGAATAAACAGCAAAGAGAAAACGAAACCGCGAAATGAACAATATTATAGTTAAAATCAAATCTAAAGTTTTTAAGTAGTTTTGTTCCGTTTATAGCATGTAGATCTCTCGACCTACAGTATGAGGATCTGTCGACCTACCTCCAAAGATAATCAAGGTTGTAAAGATGGTGTATCCGTCCACGGCTGTGTCCAGGCCGCCCTTACAGGCAGCGGACACGGCCAGGAACGCGCCGGGCAGCAGCAGCATGGTGGACAGCATGATGCAGAACCGGGCGATGTGGTACGCCGTCGAGTGGGCTTAGCATGGAGAAAGGATAATCATTTAACTAGAGAAGTAACATTGCAAAGCAAATGCATAATGTTTACCTTCGGACATGGTCTGTTCTGTTAATTCTTACTCAAACACATTCACATACATGCACTACTTGTATATGGTGACAGGAGCAGAACAGACCATGAAATTACAACATTATGTAACCCAACACCAGTCACAATGGTGGCAGACGTCGACGAATCATGTCATCGGTCAGGTCATAGGTCACTGTTTGGAGAAGAAGAAAAGGAAGAAACTGAGCAAAAACAATATGTTTTCCTTCGGTAAACATAATAGGGCAACGGCAAGTAATTTTCATGGATGGCATCATGACAAGCTTCACTGGTCGAAAGCTCTAGGTGAGAGAATTTTTTGTGTTGGACCAAAAGTTTTAACTTTAAATATGTAACTACCAACACAGATGAACTTTCATGATAAGTTGAAATGTTATTGATAACAACAAGTTCTACACAGAAATGTTCTTGTAAAGTTACCTTCTGGACGATCGTACGTGTTGCCGCACTCTGAGAACGTCTTCTGTCGTCTTGAACACTTCGCTTCCTTTAAGTAGCAGACCTGAGCACAGTTGTACTGGAAAGACTGACACATGGGGTTTCTACAGCAGGCCGCGGCACAGGCGTCAAGGGTGTCCGCGTAGATGATCCCCCGGTCCAGGATCTTAGCGGGACAGTCGGTATTGGGAGTGTAGTGGAACTCAGACAGCGTACAAGCATCTGTAACATCATATAGTGGAACTCAGACAGTGTACAAGCATCTGTAACATCATATAGTGGAACTCAGACAGTGTACAAGCATCTGTAACATCATATAGTGGAACTCAGACAGCGTACAAGCATCTGTAACATCATATAGTGGAACTCAGACAGCGTACAAGCATCTGTAACATCATATAGTGGAACTCAGACAGTGTACAAGCATCTGTAACATCATATAGTGGAACTCAGACAGTGTACAAGCATCTGTAACATCATATAGTGGAACTCAGACAGTGTACAAGCATCTGTAACATCATATAGTGGAACTCAGACAGCGTACAAGCATCTGTAACATCATATAGTGGAACTCAGACAGTGTACAAGCATCTGTAACATCATATAGTGGAACTCAGACAGTGTACAAGCATCTGTAACATCATATAGTGGAATTCAGACAGCGTACAAGCATCTGTAACATCATATAGTGGAACTCAGACAGAGTACAAGCATCTGTAACATCATATAGTGGAACTCAGACAGAGTACAAGCATCTGTAACATCATAGGGATGAATACAATCATCAGCGTTTCAGTTTGTTTTGAGAACAGTTTACCAAGATTTTTAGGCCCGTAGAAACTCGATTATATCGATAGTCAAAACCACTAAGGAAGTGAGAACATCCTACAGACTCCAACAGACTGCTTTGCAGACTGATTTAAAGCTGAATAGATAGTAGAAATTGGCCTAAAAAGGATGTATTACTAGTTGGCCAGGGGTGTTGGCCGGCAAATTGGACCCTCTATGGCCGGCCAACTCTCCTGGCCAATTACATTCTTTTTACGTCGATGAAGTGACTGACGAAAGCTAGTGGATACACAGCCAAATTCATATCCAGTTGCTTGAGTAGCTGCTTTTTGGCGTACATTCTTTTTAAGCCAATTCCTACCATTTTTTTCAGCCTGCAAAGGAGTCTGGTGGAGACTAGGATGTTCCCACGTCATTGACTCTGTTGGTCTCCTTTTGGATTAATTTTCATTGACCCTGAGCTCCTGTTGGTACACTGTCTATATCTCGTATTTCTAACTCAGTCACTTGGCTTAGAGTTGAATGGCCACAAGCTCTGGGGAGGAGCTTGTGTCCGGGCAGCGAGACATTGTGGAACTCAGACTAGGTTACTGATAACCTGGTATCCAGTCTATCGCGGTCGGGGCGGGTTCTCTTCGGGACTGCAGAAGCTCTTCACCACCCGACTCAGCTAGAGTCCCCGGTAGGTTTTGCACGACGAAAGTTTGAATAGCCCAACTCCTGGCTAGCAAAACTCCTCCAGGTGTAACACTCCTACCGGGCGGTCTATTGAGCTGGACGGGGGAAAACTATTAGAGCCCGGAAAACAGCCTGCCCCAAGCACGATAGACTGAATACCAGCAGCTTCCGTCGCCTCGTTTAAGCGTTTGTTCTCCAGAAAATTTCCCGCAACATAGTAACCATTACTTTTGTTTTGTAACATAACATTGATATGCAAATTTCCATTACCTTCTTTATTTATTTCATTTGTTATATTTATTCGCTTGTTTCACATAAGTCATTAGTTTGCCGTATGATTTTGAAGCACTTTTACCAATATGTTATTATTGTAATTAAGTTACTTTGTATCTTTGTTTTCTTGTTTCTACTTAAGTAACAAATTTGTTACTTAAGTATTTTTTTGTAAATGTATGTCCGCAGGGAACACTGAAAAACGCCCTTGCGGCGACATGTTTTACCCTGGGTAAATAAATAAAAATGAAACAAGAGTTCCGAGATCTCATACCTCCATGAAATATGGGCTTGATATGTAAATGTAAATTTCTTCTTTAATTACGCAAATGACCTCTGCATTAACATAATATATGCATCGTGATGTTAACTTTTGATTAACTTAAAGATGTCCCAAGTATGACATTCCCATCATTCACCATTGAGAAATCATAGATTTTTTGCATTAATTATGCAAATTAGGTAATCATTTGCATAATTAGTATCTGTTGATGTTCCATCTGCCATAGGTTACATACATTACATGTATGAAAGTTCTATAGTGTAAAACACTGTAATTATAGAATTTCCTCATTAATTATGCAAATAAAGTCCTCATTTGCATAATTTGCAGTTAATTATGTACATCTCTCTGTCAGATACCTACACACCAAAAATGATGAAAATACGCTGTTCCTATCTGGACTTATTGGCTTTCAAAGATTTCGCCCGAAAGTCCCCTGCAGTTCCTCAACAAGCTGCTAGGGCGACCAAACCCACACCACTTATTTCTGACACGAAAAGCTATCTGTCACCGAAAATTCAAGACCATAGCATGTTCAGGACCAAAGATACAAAAACCGGAAGTTCTGCTGCAGTTTCAAGGTCATCCACCAGGAGGCCCATATTTGACCTTGACCTTTGTCTTCCTAAGACTTATCAACATACTAAATATCATCACAATCCATAAAGGCGTTATGAAGTTATGCTGACTACAAATGTGCGGAAACACACACAGACACACACACAGACACACACACACACACACACACAGACACACAGACAGACGCCGCCAAAAACAATACCTCCATTTTTCATGGAGGTAATGAAAATACCAGGCTAGGTTACTCACCAACAGACACCCAATGGGGACTGCCCGACATGTTGGAGCACTCCTCCCACAGTCCGGCCGTGCCGGGAGACTCTACAGTCGTGTTCTCATGACAGGACGGCCAGATCCCCACCTGGTGTGACGTCCACGCTGGTGTTATAGTTCCCATCATTAGCAGTATCAGTCCCACCGAGGTAAAGATGACACCAATGTGCTGACGAATGTTCATGGTGAATTCTGGAGGTGAGTTACGAGATCTCTTCCAATGAAGAAAGGTAGCGATCTGTGAACGCATAATGTGATATTATTAATTGATGTATTAATTGATGTTTAACGTGTAATTTACTATGTTGATAAGATACGTTTTCTTGATAGCGGTTAAACGTGTATGTAAATAATAGTTGCATTTTATGTACAGGACTCCAGGAAGAATAGTGATGTATATATTATCACTAATGGGAGGTTCCTAAATAAACAAACAAACAAAGAAAGAAACGCATGGTGAAACGCATGTGAACAGTTTGAAATTAAATGAGAACAAGGCCAGGGTTTCACGATACAATTTGTACAAATGGGCCCTGGTTTGAATAACTTATGTTTAATGATGTTCACATTCACTTAACTTCCAACCGCGGTAAATATGAAATTCCAAGCAGCTACCATTATGAAATTATAGCATTTTCTCATTAATTATTGAAATTAGGTCTTCATTAACATCAACATTATCTTCCAATGTTCCTCTTGCTCTCAATTACATATTTAATAAGTTTAAATAATCTTGGAAGATAAATAAAGCAGATTTATAGAGTTTTTATCATTAATTATGCACTTTAGGTCCTGATTTGCATAATTATTATCTAATAATGTCAAGGATCACTCCTGCTACCAACATAAAGAAAATAACGACAATCCGTCAATCGATTCTTAAGTTATCGTCCCTCAAATAGTTTTCAACAAACGATCCTTCAGTTCCAGGACAGGCTGCTAGGTTCCCAAACTTTCATGACTACCTATCCATAAGTTATTGAGTTCTGGTGCTAAACCACATACACAAAACACCCAGTAATCCACCCACCCACCCAACCACCCACCCACCCACAGAACCGGTACGGAAAACATTATCTTCTCGGCGAAGATAGTCGTATAACCAGGGTCTTTATTCACAACCAAAGGATATTTACACGTCGACGTTTCCGTTACCGTCTGTCAGGGCAGCAATGACTTGTATTTCTTCGCACTGCCGCTAGGTGTCGCTGCTGCAGTATTAGGAAATCAATGCGCTCACAGACGAGAAGGATTATCATATTTATGTGCAAAAACATAGTAAAACATTATCATTTAATTCTTAAGAACGCAGTCCCACACTTAACAACCCCCCCCCGGCCATCATCACGCTTAAACGAACTTGACCTTAAAGTTTTTTTCGTTTATACGATAAAACTAGTCAAGATGTGGAACTTGGCCAAACGGTTGCTGAGATTTCGGCAACTTTGCACTTCGGCACCTGTCGTAGGGCTAGGTCCCGTACAAGGCCCTAATGACGGGCCATTTAATGGTCTTCTTATTAGGTCAAATTTACTATTCCGGCTGACTTTTTCTGGCTAGCGGGTATCATTGTTGTATCCTCTCACGTTCTGAGTGATTTTTAGTTAGTGTAAGCCGTTTTTACGGCAGAAAAGGGGGGGGGGGGGTACGCGGTTCTCGTGGCCAGTGGGGGAACTCCCATTGTAAAGC